ATTTTACAAGGGAGTCATCATATAAAAAGCCATTTGTGAATTTCCCCAAAAGCTCAGGGAGTAAAACACATCTCAAACAGCAGTAACAGTTCAGTGGTTATAAGTGGGAGGGTAGGGGTTAATTTTCTTTTACTAATTTAGAACAAGAAGGCCACAAAATCACATTGCTGCCTTTCTCTTTTTGTAAACCACCCCGACAGTCATTTTATGTCAAGTTTTGGTAAACTCAAGACAATAAATGTTGACACATCACAGGTGACATTGTTCTCTTTGTAATATTTGAACAGAGCAAAACACCAGATTTGGGGGAGAAGAAAAAAAATTAATTTCAGTTTCAAATGACATTAAAGGGGCCGTGACTAGAGTTCATCTGAATGACAGATATTCATGCCAATTAAGTGTTAGTTATTTTAATCTCATGCTCCAAAAAGAAAATCTAGAAAGTTGGAGCATTACAAGAGGATTTAAGGCCAACCTTTCATGAGAAACTTCCTGAATATCCCAAGAGGGCAGGTAGGGTGTGAAAAAAAATACCCAAGAATTTTCTAATATTTTAACACTATCACCCAGTACAGCACACTCAGAAAGGAGGAGAGGGAAATTTAGGGTACATTTTCTACAATACAATCTAGCACACACAAAACGTCTCCATAATAATCCAAAGGTACAGAATTTTTGTCTTCTTTGGAAGCATAGTCTGTAAAGAACATCTTTGTTTGAACACAAACGATTAAGTGAAAACACATCAATGCGCACAGAAGTCCTTCGTCTGGGAAAGGATAAAGTCTGTGTTGGCAACCAGTGGACAGAAAACAAATCAAAAACAAAAAGAAAAAAAAACATTTTGCTGATTCTAAGTAGAGATCATTTAATATAAATGCTGAGCGAGTAGGATAAGAGGTGGCACATTAACAGTGCTTTAGTATATTAATGTATGTATACATACTCATATGTATAAGTGAGCTGTGTACCTAAAACATTTTTAAATGTAGCAAGAAAAAAAACCAAAAAGGCTTGAAGTGTGTTTGCAAAACAAAAAAGCTGCTATTACTTTGCTGACAAATCGAGATAGAGATGCTCATCAAGTAGCCCAGAAAAAATGACAGTTGCAAAATCATTTTTGCTTCTCTAATAATTTCACTCACCAGATGTGAGGCATGTGTCAGTTTCTCAGTGCCTGCTTTCTGACAGTAAAAAAACAAACAAATGGAGCCTCAACTCTGAATAAAAAAAACCCCATATGACCCAGAGCTGCTTCTCCATGTCTAAACCGTTTAAGCACAAAGGGGCTGGTTCACTCTCATCAGAGCTGTAATACTATGAATCACGCTCACTGTTTACGAAAGGCAATGAGCTCCATGTTGAGCATCAGCAGTAAACAAGTTACACAACGGAGGAAGAGACGACAATGATGGTAATGATGATAAAAAACTGCTTTGACATACAATTGTCAGCAGAGACAATGTAGATTTTTAACCGTAAATGTTTAATATGAATAACTGGAACTAACTTGATTTGTTTACCCCTCAGTAGCCAAAGATAATTATCCTCAGCTTTAAACATGATTTCAAATGTACTGCGGAGCCTGAAAAATAAGACGCTTTATTACAGTATTAATGACATTTAAGTGTAATGCTCAGCCATACAAACCACGTCAGGAAAGTGACTTTGGTTCATGCAGTTACGCCTGATGCAGGTGCCTTCATTAGGTGCCATCATTAGGTGAACCTCACCCCCAAAAATCGAAACAATGCAAAGCATGAAAATTAAAAATTCAACAAAATACAACAAAAGACATGAGGGAAGGCAACTTCATAGAAGTTAGGAGAACAAAATGACAGGATATCCCAATGGGGAGGCCTTCTGTGTGGCTAGATGAGAAACTCTGAGGAGGGAAATCCCCTATTTTCTGACCCGGGTGTCCTAATGTCAAGGTTACACTCCTTCATCTGACTCTTAAAAGCAAAAAAAGATGGACTCTACTTCCCTGAAAATGTTCTGTTACACATGCTGTGAAAAACAAAGCTCTCACAACATGATGAGCCAGGATTGAAGAGGTGAAAGGCACTGTAACCAAAACCTCCACCAGGTCACGCCATTACAGAGAGAAGCACTAGTTAAAGTCTGTTATAAAAAATAGGTGAAAAGCTTGTTATCAAAAAGAACATGTTGCAATCTTTAAAACAGAATGCTGCAATTAAAAATATAGAATATACCACTTTCACGTATGAAACGGGTATGATGCGCATCTATAAAAGTCTTAACTCACAAGGCAGGTGAGAAAGTGCTGCTGCGTGTTGCGTCTCCGTTTTCCAATGAACATTCTCTAAACACTGCTGTTTTTCCCTCCTCAGACCCTCGACATCTGAGCATCCACGTTCTTTTTTCTTTACGATTTTGGGGATGAGCACCGAGTGACACGCACCTCTGCTGTTCACTACATCAACCTTTGCATCTAAACTATATATACGACATAACAGCATCTAACCGTTCACGACACAAATGGGAAATAATAATAATAAAAAAAACTTACTGTTGTTTTATTTAATGAATTGTTTTCTGTAGTTAAAATTTTTATCATCCACAGCCACCATTCTCTCTTCCTGGTATTATCTATTGTGAGCCTCATTAATCTATTATCCCAGTACAAAACAAAGAAACACACAAGAAATGTTATCATATGCCCTGGTTTCCAGGCAAGGAAGGTCATTAAAAAAGCTCATTCACAGAACAAAAAGAAAGAAAATTCATATCACGGCAGATACTGCTCATCTTCTAAATAGAATGGGTGTATGTGTGCCTGTGCATGCTTTTCAATCGAGCATCATGAGTGTGTGTGAGTGTGTGTGTGTGTGTGTGTGTGTATATGTATGTGTGTGTTTAAGTGTATACTGCCTAAGAGCAGG